TTCCTAAGTTCCTTAAACATTCTTATCATCAGTGTTCTAAACTCTGTCTCTGAAAGGTTGGATACCTCTGTTTCATTTAGTTCCATTTCTTGAGGTTTCTTCTGATCTTTTACTTGGGACATGGTTCTTTGTTTCTTCATTCTGGCTGTCACTCTGATTGCTTTGATGTATTAGATCACCTAGAAAGAAGAGAAAAAGAGGAAGAAAGTGGAAAAAGAAAAAAAGGAAAAAAGAAAAAAGGGGAGGGGCTCTCCACCCACTTTAATCTGCAGACCACTTGCTCAGCAATAGAGAGACTCTGGGTGACTCAGCACCAGCTGTTGGGGGGAAGGGCTCAGTGCATCATGCAATGACCTCCTCCTAGACTTGAAGTTAGCTTCCCACAATTAGTTGCTGTGTGCTCTGGAACCGTGCTCACCACCAAAACTCCTCACAGGTTGTTGCGGGCTGTCTGCTCCTGCAAAAAAACCCTCTGTGGCCTGCAGAGGTAGGGGTCAGGGACCAGGGGCTCAGGGTGCCACTGGCAACACAGCTCTAGGTGGGCGGGGCAGGCCCCCAAGGCACCACATGATGTGGTCAGTGGCCCCCACCAAGTCAGAGCAGCATGAACTCCTGCATCGGCAGCCAGCCCACACAAACTCGCCCAGAAAGCCCCGGCTGAATCACGCAGGCGCACAGCTCACGGCCCTACACTCCCAGGAAAACTCCCAGTCTCAGCCTGTCCCAATCAGCTGCTCACAGATCAGGCCGATTGGTGACAGCCAATCGCCACCCAGACAACTCTGCACGCGCAGTGCGGAAATCGGGGACCTAAGGCAAGTCACGCACTCCTGGGCCTCAATAATCAGCCTGTTGGAGTCAGAGCGCCTGCCAAGCATTTCCCTGACTACGCAGCACAAGCAGTGTGGAGGGTGGGGATCCAAGGTCGCTTGCGCACGCGCACGCAGGCACACATGCACGCACACACGTACTCCTGCGCCAATTCCAGCAGACCAATGCAGTCCCAGACCTGAGCCTCTGTGGGAGGTCCCAGCCCTGAAAAAATGGCGGCCTCCTGTGCACTACTCTTGTGCAAGCTCCATACCAGGGGAACAAGGGTCCCAAAATCCTCCAGCTCCCGCACCAAAGGCACTCAGTTCAGTCCTTCCTGGAGGCTCCTGGGCCCCGCTCACAAAGCTACTCCCTCCACCAGGAACCGGGTGAGTGCTCATCAGCGAGCGAGTCGGTTTGCCGGCTCCACTAGTTCTCCAGCTGCCCTCAGCCTCACCAAGTTGAGCAAAAAGAGTCCTCACTATTTTCTGCTTCCAGCTATCGTAGAACTCCGCTTCCCGACAAAGTAACTCTGGGCTGGTGAGCACGATGTGGGGCCGGAGGGTCTCTCCCCCAACCAGAGAAGCCTCCCTACCACTGAGGTGTCCCTCACGGGGTTTGCCCTCTCTTGTTTCGGCCCCTCCTACCACACTCGATGTGGCCTCCTCTTTAGGTCCTTCGTTTAGAGGTTCTGCTCATCTAGTGTCCAGGGAACTTCTGAGGTTGAATATCTTATAAATTATTTTTAATTTTGGTGTGATCCTAGGAGGCAGTCGGCACAGCGTCTGTCTATTCTACCATCTTACCGGAAGTCCCCCTTAACCTACTTATTTTGATTCAACATATTATAACAGTGGTTTGGTTCTAGATTTTATCCATGTCAGTAAAAAGATAATGAGCATAAATATCTGAAATCTGTGTGGATAACTTTTTGGGGTGACTGCATATTGATAATAGCAACCTCCAAAATGTTATTTTAAGTGGTTAAACAATATTTGTTGATACTTTTAGCATTGGCTAAATTAAAACACAAGTATATTTTTATCCTTTTTCCTTTCTGCTGTTTTTTTTTTTTTTGCATTTTTCTAGACAGGTGCTTCAATTACTATTTCTGAGCAGTGTCTCTTTTATATTTCACTAAGCTATTGAAATTAGCATAATATTTTGTAATTTTTATCATCACAAGCGAAACAGTTTTGGACAGAATCTTAGAACCTTATTACGTATTTATCTAATATAAACTGAATCACTGATCATTTTTTCCCAATAATTTTCTCTTGAGTTAGCAGAAACTAGTTAGATGTGGGAGCCAAATTTAGCATATATAATTTCCCTTCTTTGTGATGAGGATTATTCTAAATTTAGCATTTTGCCAAATAGATATGCAATACATAGACGTGTTCCCATTTCTGAAACTGATAGCACTACTCCATCTGTAATGGAAGAACTCTGAGACCCTGTCAACAATGGTGATAAATTCTTTTCTTATCCTGGGACTCCTGGTGTTCATTCATATATTTAGGCAGGATGAGACACAATATTATATTAATTAGTTCTACAGTCTAATCAATTGTACTAACTAGTAAAGACAACCACTTTCTAAGTTCTCTCAAAATAACAACTTTGGTGTTGAGTAGAATTGAGAGAAATAAATAAGAAGGGCTGTACTTTGTTTTTGTTTTCATTTTAGCATGGACCTTATGTGCTGGACAGACATTGAGCAGCTCCGAAGAATAACTCACAGAGATCGAAAACAAAGGGAGGCAAAATCTATATATATTAAAAACAAATACCTTAATAAAAAATATTTCTTTGGACCCAACAGTCCAGCTTCTCTGCATCAGCAGGATCAGGTATCAACATGCAACCATATTTTCTATATTGAAGTATGAAAACAAGTAATATATATATATTTTTGTCAACAGCCTGAAAGCCATCTTTTTTTCTTTTGCTTTTATGACTTACATGTTAGACATTTTTGATATATCATTTTTTTAGGTATTCACAAGTATCTACAATTTAAATGTCTTTAAAGTTCCCTCAAGTATTACATATTATAAAAATGTGTTATTTTAAAAAGTAATTTATATTATAGAATAAAAAAGCTTTTATTCATCCACTCATCTACTCATTCAGCAAATATGAGTACTTGTGATATGCTAGACACATTCTAGGTGTTCAGGATAAGTGGTGAACAAGGCAGACAAAGGCCTTTCAACAAGCAGGAAAACAGCCATTAAGCTTTATCTTTGCCTCTCTTCTCTTCTTCTCTTAACTGATATTACTCTGAACATAACCAATGTTTGAAAAATCCTGTTTGCCATTGTATTGTCTCCCAGAAACTATTTTCATTGACCAGGAACAGGTTTGGCCATTTTGTTGGACCAAAGTCATATGGCCTTAATCACAACTTATTAATAACTGTGGTTCATTATTTATAGTAAAAATGTCAGATTGGGATTCAGCAGTGGGTTTGAGTATTCACCTAACACTTTGATCACATGAAATATGGCTCCATTTTTATGCTTTAAAAAAAACCAGAATTAAGTGTTATAATTTATTTAGTTTGAAGTTTGTAGTACAACATTGTTACCTAGAGATCAAATAATAGCATTTGATTTTTTTTATAACAGTAATTTAAATGGATGCATATTCTGATGCTATACATTTATAAAATGCAAACCTCAGATTAATGCTAAATCAATAAATTAAAGAAAAACTCAGAAGTATTAATAAGTCGGCCTAGCATATTAAAAAGCTAGATCTTTAGGAGGAAAAATAAGCAAAATACCTTGGGAGTAAAAGGAAGCAGAAGTTGTAGAATTAAGCAACTTTGACAAAAATGTCTTGCCATTAGTTCCCTGAGATACAAATCAGGGATGTGTTAGCAAAAGAGATTGGGTATCTCATTTAGCACAAGAATGTAATAAACACATGAAAAGCATTTGTTTTCTATTTTGCTTGTGCCACATTGCATGAGGTTTCGTGATATCTGATGCTACTGTGTGAACCTTCCATAGTATAACAGGCTGAGAATTTAAAATTCAGTGGAAAAAGTCACCCATTGCTATCACTGAAAATGGTTGTACTTACTACAGAGTTTTCCCAATGACCCTTCTTCCTCATCTTTGTCTTTACTTTTATTTTCGTTTACTTATTTTATACTTAAGGATATTTGCATTGCATGATGTTTTATATAAATGATCTAGTTCTAATTTCAGTTGTGTGGCCTGTTTGCTCTTTTTTTAGATTTAAAATTATATTTATTTGTCTTAAAAAAGTTCTTTTTTAAATATAGCTAACATACAACATTATATTAATTTCAGGCTTACACAATTGTTATTCAACATTTATATACCTAAAGAAGCAATCACCATGATAAATCCAGCAACCATCTGACACTGTATCACACTATCACAATATTGACTATATTCCCTATGCTGTACATTACATCCCCATGT